GTTTCAACATCAGTTATTAGAAAAATTGGAGAGTCCATCTATGATTATACTGGATAACGCCCCTTATCACAGCATGATATTGAACAAAGTGCCCAACAATGCATGGACAAAAAAAAATATCCAAGACTGGTTGACAAATCAAAACATACCATTTTTAAACACAATGTTTAAAACAGAGCTATTGAGTATTGTTGCTCGGTACATAATGCTTCTTAATTATATATATTTTGGTCGACAGTTTATATTTCTTTTGTTTATTCCTATTCTTAAAATAACTGCTTTTTTAGAAACAAACCACCTAAAATATACGTGATTGATGAATTGGCGGAACAACATGGGCACAAAGTTCTTCGTCTGCCTCCTTACCATTGTATATTTAACCCTATTGAGTTAATTTGGGGCATAGCAAAAGGTTACTATAACAGACATATTGGTAGAGATGGTAACAGTGAAAAAGACTGTTTGGATATGTGGAACGAGGCTCTACAAACGGTTACCCCAGACATGTGGAAAAATAGTGTTCGACATACTGAGCAAGAAATTTTTAAATGGTATGAAAGAGAACGAATTTTTGATCGACCAGACATCGAACCTTTAATAATCAACTTTGAGAGTGATGAAGATTCAGATTCAGACAGCGCTGAAGAAAGAAACTCCGACTAACTTTATTGTACAGAAAAAGCTTACACCAGTAGCTTACCTAATTTTAGAATGCATTTTTCTGTATGAATTCTGTAAAATAAATACCATGCATAAAATTTGGAGGACCCCATTTGGATTTTTATTCAGTACCTTTAAGCTATCAATTAAATATGGTAGTTTCATAGTGTCATCTGATCAATAATTGTCATACTTAATGATTATGCAAGTACAGATCTATAATTTTATAATACTATTATTTTTGTTCTCATTTGAGGTTAATATTGCTTATAAACCTAGATATGTAAATAATAAATTTTATTATTTTACAAAAAGTTTGGCAACAATGTAAATTTTTCAACACACCCATCTTGATGACGTGCACGCCACTTTGTTTGGCGTTGACTATAGACTCATGTGTGGAATTTTGTTCTATACAAACGTATGCTCATGACACACAATTATCATTTTACTTCAAATATACTCATTTAAATGAAGTGTCGTTTAAAATTAATACTGACCTAATCAATATTACGGATTTTTGTAAAAAGCAATGTCTCAGGATCAATCCTGAAAAGAGTTCAACTATGCTTTTTTCTCCAAAACACATGTATAATAACATAAATTGTACTCATTATAAATAACGAGAACATTCTAAAAACCTGGGTGTTACCTTGGACTCTAACTTGTTTGATAGACACAACGGTTACCTATCTCAATAAACGTATGCCAAATTAAAACTTTTATACTCCAGCCGGTTCATTTCGAAATTTAAGACTAGGAAAAAATTAGTTTAAAGATTGATCCTGTCATCTTTGCAACATTATCTGATTTTATTCTATTCTTATTTGGATTCGTCGAATCGGTATAGGTTACAAAAAATTAAAAATAGCTGCTGTAGGTTTGTGTTTGGACTTCGTAAATATAGTCATGCCTCTTCGAAGATTAAAGATTTAAATTGGTTAAAGATGGATTGTTATGAAGGTGTTTGTCCATAGAGCTGAAGTGGGAGGGGGCTCGTATACGTCGGTTTTTGAAATCTCGTACGATTAAAGCGACTGCGAGTCCAAAATGTTGGAAAATAAACTCCAGAAAGCGAAAAAACAGTAGGCATTCAGAATGTTTTGTGATTTATGTCGGCAAGGTAAATTCGAGTATTTTGCTATAAAACGCCCTCTGTACTAACCCTGTATATTGCTCAGCAAACTGCTATTGATGGCGGGAGGACAGGTGTTTTGGGATAAACAATTAGAATTTCTCAAAAACTACTTGACCAATCGACTCCAATTCGAGAAGAATGAAGCCTACGGATTTGAAGAATTTCAAGTAGCTGTGTGAAATTATCGCTGCATCAGCAGCAAGTGCCAAAACCGGCATTTTGCCTCGGTCTTTTACCATTTGTCGGATCTCTTTACGTGTGGCCTCATTCTGTAGGTCTAATAAACGCCTAAAAATCTTATTCGAAGAGTTTTTTGGTTACTGCCAAGACTTTCTATTGAATTCCAAAAAACACGTTTTCTCACTCTTTGTTGTCAAAAAAAAGTTTTTCCCCAAAAATTGGTGTACCCACTTCATGCGTCCATATTTTAAATACCCCCTTGAACAACTTGCAGCAATAGAACCAGACTTTACAATTATTTCGCAAACAAGGAGTATTTTCTTCTAGTATGATTAAACTTTTATTCGCGAGAGGTTTGTGACTACTTCCTTAAATTTAGCAAATGATCAGACCTACTGGGAATGTGTACATTTGCGGATGCTTCAACTGCGACATGTTCTATATAAAATATAAAGAAATACGTTTCTGTTTGAGGCGAATCTCCTCAATCGATATTTTATCGTAACTATTACTTAGCAGGAAACGGTCGGAAGCTTCCTTCATTGGGAACTTTTCCGGGGTAAACGTCTCTTTTAGGGTTTTTATATAGATAAACGCTTCTCGCAGTTTTTTTACAAAAACGTTTCCGCTCTTTTCGGACTGATTAAATAAGGGCTTTGAGAGCGCGAATTTTATAGTCCCGAGGAAATATTCCGTGAACGGAGTCGATTCCAAGGAATCATGCAGCAGCCTGTATTTGCATTTTTTCTTATTTACCGTCCTCATTTTCTCGGCATTTTTTACCGTAATAAAAAGCAAATGCCGTTGTCAATATCTTTCCCGTCAACCCACCGAAATAGCATACCTTATCGCTCGTAGTCGGCCAGTAAAATTTGCCGCTCGAGAGCGACAAGACGAAAAAAACAGCGATTCACAGGAGAGCTTACTTCACGCAATTACAGACTCAGCCAGGCCTATTATGAGGCTCATGTCGTTGCTCATGATATCACGAAAGCATTCGATCAGCTGTGGCACGCTGCCCTCTTATGCAAACTTTCATCATATGGCCTCCCAGAAAAGCTTTGCAGATGGGTGGGGCTAACTTTCTCTCGGGCCGCAAGATATCCGTCGTAATTGACGGTCCCACAACGTCAACGCGGGTGTTCCCCAGGGATTAGCCTTGGGTCCGCACTTTTCCTTTTACATATCAAGGACCTAGTTTCCTGTACGATCAACCCAATCCACAGCTTTGCTGATGACAACACTGTACATGCAGGAATTGAGAGCGACAAGCCGATATCTGACGCTAAGCATGGAAAAAGATGACTAGCGGCAACTACGTCTCTGACGAGAGACCTGAAGGTTATCACTGCTTGAGGACACAACAATCCTGTACAGTTTAATACTTTCAAAACACAGTAGTTTACCTTGGGTTCTCCTATTCATCCCACAACGTCAACGCGGGTGTTCCCCAGGGATCAGCCTTGGCTCCACACTTTTTTTTTACATATAAACGACCTCCTTTCCTGTACGATCAACCCAATCCACAGCTTTGCGGATGACAGCACTGTACATGCAGGAATTCAGAGCGACAAGCCGATCTCTGGCGCTAAGCTTGGAAAAAGAATACTAGCGGCAACTGCGACTCTGACGAGAGACCTGAAGGTTATCACTGCTTGAGGACACAACAATCTTGTACAGTTTAATGCTTCCAAAACATAGTACCCGATCTTGACGAACAAAAAGCATCCTAGTGCTCATCCGGTTTTGATGAATGGCTGAGTTCTGCCAAAGAGCCGTGCATTTCGGCTGGTCGGAGTTCAGATCACCGAGGACTTGATCTGCTACGAAGACATCTTGTCAATAGTGCCAACTGTTGGGAAAAATGCCAGGCTAGGTTCGTTTAGGGCTTAGAAGTGCTTTTCACCACATGACCTCCTCACACTATACAAGGCTCAAATAAAACCTGGCCTGCCTGTCTCATCAGTAACAATAACCATTTAAAATAAAGTGTGTAAACCAAAACTAGAGTTGCTAGACAAAAACCAGTGTTATTCCCGTAATCAACTTACTAAGTTCAAACGACAGCGAATAAAAACACTTCGGAAAATTTTCCACTGTTATAGGTTAAAATTTAAGTGGAACACCACTTTCTGCTAGAAACTGTTCGGGAAAGCATCTGTTGAAATAAAGCGCAGAACGAGTCGCCAGGTGTTTTTTTGAAGTTAAAACGCAGAAAAGGGGCCGAGTTGTACGGGAAATATATAGCCCTAAACAGAAAAAGAAAGGAAATAAAACAAGACGTCGCTCTGCGAGTTTTATAGATCGTCAGCAAAAACTGTTTTTGGCTGAAAATATTTGAACCGTGTTTGCGAAACGTTTGGTTAAAGTGGATATCGCGTTCCCGTACACTCTTGATTATATCTGTTAAAGGATTCTCATCCATAAGCGAGTTCGACCCTGAAAATGCATTCCTTTTATCTTAGGAATTGTTTTTCAAAAGCTAAAAGGTCAAAAATATCAAAATGAGAACCTTGGGCCTTAAAAAACAATCTAAGCACTATAATAGAAAGAAATCAACTTTGAGTTACTTTTAGGGCCGAAACACCCCCTTATGGACCCTCATTGTTTTGATCAATGCTTTGTATACCTACAGGGTGATTCTAATAACGATGAAAATATTTGTGTGACTCTTGCTGCCTGTTTTATCAGGTCGCACACGGGCAACACCAAGCCATTGTTGCCGTTTAAACACGTTTACACTCTCTATGACGCTTTAGTTGTATTTATACAGGATGTTCCAGACTAAGATGATGACGAATGTATCTCTCGTGCATAAATAAACGTCCAACGGGAATCTGCCAAAAAACTATACTGGAAATCAGTTTTTGATGAGTAACTCTTTAAACCACACTGTACAGTTCGACACACATGGTGGTGTTCATAGAAAACACCTTATTTAGATCACTGGGAATGGACCATAATTGCACAATAATGGCTCAAAAATGATATTTTTGAGAATTCTCATTCTTTTTTTTTTATACTTCAACTACCACGAAGGCCTAAGGCCCAAGCACCCATTGGGTACCGTGGGGCTATAGGGGGATACATGGGAAAGGGGGAACGCCACACGGACTCTGGCGAGGGAACACGTGTGCATGCGACATGCACACATTCTGGCTCCGCCTACGAGATCCGCCGGGTGGTACCTCCGCGTTCGATAGTCAGAGACCGTCTACCACCTACGGACAAACCATAGCTAAGAGAAAAATTTCTCCTGGGACGGGACTCGAACCCGCACAGCGCACGGCGACTGATCAGGAGACCGAAGAGTCTACTACTGCGGCCACCGCTGCTGCCTGCAGCATATATAGATATAGAAATAAGTTTTTTGAGAGGTATTGATATATTCCAACAAACGCTTTCTGGATACACCTTCTTAGCAGCAATGATATTTTTGAGAATTCTCATTCTGTAGCTGAAACGAACTTATTCTTGTTTGACTTCAAAATAAGCCGTTTCAATATTGTCCAAATTGATTGGGTGTTCGACAGAAACCTAAACTTGGTAAAGTGATTTGATAGTTTACATCCTGGGATTTTTTTTGGGAGAACTTTTGCACATATTTCACTAGGAATTTGTAGCATTAATTTTTGTGTTCCATATCCTGTACTATTAGTGGTAATCAATCTTAGGTATGTGCAGTGTTTACACATCTGTACTATGAAGATTACTTCGGTGCAAAGAGGGATGAAAAGGATTTAATAAGTTTTAATTGATAAACGATCCCAACCAATCCACGTGGCCATCTGGAAAAATCGTCTAAGTTTCCCTCTTCTCTCACTTTCCAGGGAGTCACTTTCAAAAGTTAATAAAAAGTTGGCAAATAGTTCGCAGACACTATATCACCCAAGTATTGAGACAAAATATTAAACGGATATCCCGAGATGAGTTTCCCTGAACTGAGCAAATATATTTCTAAGGTTTCCTCTCCTTTTACTGCTATAGGGTCTCTAGGGAGCCAGAAAAAGTGCTGAGGTGATCAAATTTATTTTATACGTTAAAGACTAGACAGGAAATATTCTGTCTGACGGAGGTTATACTCCACGCCCCCATTTCATAACTCCACCTGTCAGATTCGAATTCCTTATGTCAAATTGCGATTTTTTATCTGAGTTGTTTATGATTTGAAAAACACAAGAAAACTAAGCTTGTTTGCTTTAGTTTTTGGTTTGTTTTTTACTTATTCCTCCGCCATCTTGTGAAGATATACGAGGTCTGTAAATTGATGAGACTGGCAACGTTGCGTTTGATCTGGCAACACTGGAGGCGCCTGGCTTGGAGGGGCCTGGCCTCCCCTCCAACCCATGTGATCCGCCTTCAGTACAAGTTTGAACTCTCTTGAATCATTTGCATAGCTGTAGGAAATTAAATATTGCATCTACTGGTAACCTTGATACTTACCTTCATAGGTCATTCCAAGGACAATTTGACTTTTCCCAAAGGAACCCCCATTCTTTATTACAGAGATAGAGAGCCAAAAGAAATTCCTTTTCAACGGTATGAATATCGTAGGGGTCAAAATTACATCTAGAGGTTATTTCCAGGTCAATTGTTGCTCTTTCATGGAATGTTGTCAATTTAGAAAAACAAAGAACTTTTAATGTGAAAATGCAAGCCACCTAACAGCACATCTATTTGTGACTTTTATTCTAACATTGGCGATGACCTTGGAGCTCAATCCAAGGTCACATTGATTTTTTCACACAAACTTTCAATTTTCATCCGAGCGCTGAAAATGGAAAAAAACTTAATGTTCAAAGGTTAAGTTAACGGAGGTAAAATCACACCGGGAGGTTATTTCAAGATCAAATGACATATTCTCGTGGATTAGACCGAAGCGAACGATACACTGGTCAACAAATTTAAATATTTGTAAAGTAATATTGATGAAAATAGGTTTGTTCGAAGTATTTTAGTGTTCTAAGTCCGAAAATGATATGCTAATTATTGTAGCACGTACAGTTTTTTTGTTATAAGGAACGGGAGTGCAGAACATGTATTTTTTGAGACATCCGACACCTTAGTAATTCATAGGTTTTCAACAGTTCATCTGTGAGGCTTTTATAGCGTTCATCATTCTTGTTGCGCAAAAATCCTTTCGCTACACGTACAAAACACGTCCAAGCTGCCAATTCCTTTTCATTTAATTGTTCACGAAAACGGAGATCATCTAGGAGCTTCCTTATCTGAGGTCCAATAAATATGCCTTCTTTTAATTTTGCATCACTGAGTTGAGGACATATTTCACTTAGGTACTGGAAACCCCTACCGCCTTTATCCATCGTGTTGAAAAAGTGTTTCGTTAGTCGAGAGGCGGTAGCAGCAACTTTTTTGGGTGGAGGAGGGCATATTTAATATTTGAAGTACCAGGTTCAAAAGAAGCTCTATGAGGCCAATCCATTTTACTGTAGTGTTTTTTGTTGCCCTACTGTCCCATAGACCCAAAAAGCAGAAATACTTTGTAAAACCCGCTTGAAGTCCTTGAATATACCTATGTCTTTTAAATCTCCAAAGATATCCCACTGATACTGTTCATACCTAACACGATTTTATATAGTTATAGCGACCCTTCCATCTTAAAAAATCTTGATAATGTTACATTCAGTTCTCGGTAAAATGATACACTTGCTTTCTATCTAACAAGTTCCATTGTTGAAGTCTGGAAAAAAGAAGTTCCTATAATTGTTTTGACAATCTTAGGTCACGTACCAAGTCACTTAATTCATTCTGAGTTATAAGGTGAGGTTCACTGGTAGCAGTTGGTAGAAATGTTGGATCACAACTGCTGTTCTCAGGAAGTTGTGGATCAGATTCTGATGAAGAATTAAAATCACCGGGAGACACGATGTCCAAGGCTTAAAGGCGCTATCGGTACCGATAGTTCCTGACAATGAGGAACTGGCCACTTATATGGTCAGTAGGTTCTCTACACTGTAGCAACAGCAAACGGCATAGAATTTTTCTTGCGATACATCCACTGCAGTAAATTTACGTGACAACTCACACAACTAACATGAAGAGCCCAACTTTTATCTTGATCCCCAATTTGGCACTTAAAATATAAAGGATAGGCTTGTTTGACTTCCTTAAATATAGATCCAGCTTGCGTCTTTATAATGAATCGTTCACATATACAGGGTGACTTCGAAGTTGAGTCATTTATTTTAACAGTGAGTAGATCTGATCAAAAGAAATGTTTTTTTCCTTTACCATTTTTCTGGTAAAATTAAAGTAACAAAGTTATATCCCTTTGGAAGTTTGAGTACCGCCCTGTCTCAATAATTATATTATGTTCTCGTGTTTGGCAACAACAGATATAATCCGCCTTATCCGTTCATCGCATCGGAAACAAAAAAGCGAAAGAATTTGGAACGATATTTTTACAATTAGTTTCTTCAGTTGTATACAGTCAGTATCAGTCGGTAGTCGGTAACGCGTAAGTGAATTGTCGTGTCTGTTGCGAGGCTCAAATCAAAAATGGCACATGTTTACGAAAATGCTGAACTTGTGGACATGGTTCTTATTTACGGGGAGTCTTTACAAAATGCTGCCGAGGCATCACGGATCTATGCGGATCGGTTTCCCAATCGAGTGCAACCAACCCCTCGTGCCTTTGTTAATGTAGTGCAAAGAGCTCGTGAATCAGGTGACTTAAGACCTCACAGAGGAGATCATGCCGGTGCTCCAAGACCACACGATCAAATAGAACTAGAAGAACAAATTTTAGAATTAGTAAGTGATGATCCAACAGTAAGCACCCGACAAATTTCAACTCAATTGGCGATTAGTCAATATAAAACTTGGAAAACTCTACGTGAAAATCAGTTCTATCCGTTTCACATACAAAAAGTGCAGGCCTTACAACCGGAAGATCATGAACAAAGGGTTGACTTTTGCAATTGGCTTTTAAATAAACATCAAAATGATGACAATTTTTTAAATCAAATTTTAGTGAGTGATGAAGCCCTCTTTACTAGAAACGGAATTATTAATTCACGTAATTCTCACGTTTGGGCTATTGAAAATCCCCATGAAATAAGGGAAACCAATTTTCAACAGCGATTTGAACCAATCAACCTGTGGGCGGGAATTGTTAATGGAATTTTAGTGGGGCCTTTTGAATTACCAAATCGCTTAACTGGTGAAAATTATTTTGATTTCTTGCAACACAATTTGCCTGGTTTACTGGAAGATGTGCCTTTAAATATTAGACAAAACATGTGGTTTTTACAAGATGGGGCACCACCCCATTATGCAAGAAATGTGCGTGAATTTTTAAATAGACAATTTAATAATCGTTGGATCGGCCGTGGCGGTTTTGTACCTTGGCCGCCAAGGTCTCCGGACTTAGATCCTTTAGACTTTTGTTTGTGGGGTTGGCTAAAAACTCTAGTGTATAAAACACCGGTTAATACACGCGAAGAATTACGTGCTCGAATTGAGGAAATGAGTACAGTGATCAGAAATCAACCAGTGATTTTATTGCGTGCTTGTAAAGAGACATGGCTAAGACGCGCCCAGCTGTGCGTCGAGCAAAACGGAAATCATTTCGAACAGTTTTTGTGACATGCTTTTGGGCGCACAGGTCCGCACTGAAATACTTGTCGGGAGGATACTTTATAAAACAAGGTAACATTTTTTTTTATTTTTTTTTTATTTTTACACACATATTTTGGTTTATCTTCCTTCTACAATCATTATCTGAAAATTAATGACTCAACTTCAAAGTCACCCTGTATAACAAGACTTATCAAGTGGATTTTTGCAACATCGACGACTCAAACTTGCCATGTTATATCAAAATCCACTTAAACATATGACTGCACTGTACACGAGACAGAAACCAACTAAACTGCAGAAAACAATAAAACTCTTACAGCTTGGTATAATACTGTGATAATAACCCTTCTGCGGTCTTGTTGTACGTTCCGATCCTAAGGCAGGTAACAATGATTTCAAAGATGGCATTATAAAAAAAGCAGGTACTTCAAATGGGACGTGCTAGGCCTTTGCTGGGAAAAAGCATTTTAATAAATTCCTAAATGAAACGCAAAATACGTACTCTCATCGACGTTACCCAATTTATGTCGACTTGTGTAATCTTTGCAAGTGAAAAAAGACATCTTGGAATGATTCTTCAAGATACTGCGTTAAGACCATTTCCGGTCAGTAAAGGCAAGACAGGATACTGTTCGGCCACTGAAGGAGAGACAGCCTCACAAATAAATCATCTGACCTTGATATAATCTCCGGGTGTGGTTAATTAAACCTTTGAAAATAATGTTTTCCCTTTGTAGAGCTGGGATCAAGATTGAGGGTTTCCGCTTGAAAAATTAATTTGTTCCTGGTATTTGGGTGTGTCCGTACGTTATATGTTTACTATGGTTGCAGTGAAGTTTTTTGCGTTACCACCAACGAATTTGAATTGATTAGAAGTGTATATATTAAGATTACACTGCCTGACGCCAAAATTACGTGGTGTGATGCTTACGGATGGAAGCATCCACCTTACTACAGACTATGAGAATTGAGATACAAACAAATCCTTGAATCGTTCTACCTAAAACGAATTCGTTAGTTAGCATTGATAGCTCTTCTATATCAGAACATTGTATAACATCTGGCCCCTCGACCTAATAGAGTTTCGACGTAGTCCGAAAGCCCAATAATTGTTTTAGCCTTGAGTCCCTCAGTTTAATGGACATATGGACAAGCATGTGCATTGGTAAGAAAACGTTCCTGCTAACCTAATATTTCCTGACTGGTCAGCAGACGAATAGATTGAAGGGAGGATAACTAAATAAATTCCTTCTCTACCTACCGACAAGATATTTTGGGAACTGCTTCAATATTACGATTTAGAATTTTCTTTCTCTTTCTTTTCTTTTATACTTGGATATGAATATTATGTTGCCACAAAAATGCTTAAAAATTCATTCAATTGGTCAAAGCTATGGTAACGTGGTCCTAATCAATTCAATGATGAAGTTTCGTATTTTTTTGAAACACATGTAGAATCATAGTCTAAGGGCCAATTCCACGAACATTGATATTTAACGGTCCTTTGGACCAATAGGAAAAGATCTTATCGATATGCAATTTGACGGAAGCTGTCAAAGCTCTCTGAATATCTGAACTGATTTCTATTGAAATGCTGAATAAAGTCGTGGAAAAACGGTTGCCTTATAAATAAGGGTACATTGTAGATGTAATATTATGTCTTTGTGCTTTAGAATTAGGATAACTTTTATAGAATTTCAAATTTTTATCATTTTATAAAAGACGGTCAGTTATTTAAATGGACCAGTGAAAATGAGAGAAGTAATCGGTCGATTTTCCAACTGGTTCATCATCTTTGTTACATCAAAAACAATTTTTGCCAATTTATTATCTAAAAATCCACACCAAATGTAAACAAACAGCACATTCTGCATTTCTGGGTCCTAAAACATCGATAGTTGTAAAAATATCCGCATCCACCTATTATTCATCGTCTAGATATTTGAGTCAGGATCAAAAATACCTATTTATGAACATATACCTCCAAACATTGTTATATTTTCTTTTTATTTCAATTATAACATGTCTGGGATATCAATTGCTTTTAAAGTGATCTGCATATCTGCAGTGTTGCCGAACCGGCAAAAAAAAACGCAATCGGTAAATAGTGTCGTTGAATTCGATATAAGGTAAATGCCGTCCCAAGATCAGTGGTAGATCAAGGACCCTTAAGTCATGAAAAACGTCTGTTATTGTAATGGGCATTCTATGCATATCCGTTCATATTCGTCAATATTTCATTTGAAGCTTTTATTTGTCATAAGATTTCAGCAAAATTTAAGATAGTAAAGGCAACACGGCACCCTGCAGCCCAGTTGACAAGAACGACAAGCTGTCAAGATTAGGGATGTTTAGATCCACGAAAAGTATCGATATGTATCGACTCTCATCGTTTTAGGAATTATCGGTACTCTAAAATATTGGAATAAAATTATCGCTATCCAGCGGAAGGAAACAAAGAAGAAAAGTAATCTGAAGTTAGTCACTCTTTCTGAGACAGTCCGGATGGAAAGATGACGATACTCGTGAAATGTATCGATACACCCAAGTGTCGTATATAAAAAAATCGATCCAAAATATCGGGTATCGAACATCCCTACTGTCAAGATGTATATAGGTACTGACGGAGCTATTTTGCGGCGTCATGGAAACAATTTTAAATTTTCATTTGCATTTTTTCAAGTGTTGTACAACGATTTTCATAGTAGAGTATATTTCAACAGTTGGCGGAGCTTACGCTACTGGGACCAAGGGTTGACGGATCCCACAGATGTGTCACTCGTTGGGGAATTTTCAAATGTAATAATCAGCTGTTATTCAAATAATGTCTAATATAAATATAACCTAGAATGTGTACTCAGTGAAACAAGAAAAATAATGCAAATTATATTTTTTTGCAGGTTTTAAGTTTGCCGGTAGCTTTACGATATATATTTGGGTATTTCTTAGTCGCTGTATATATAGGGTGACTTCGAAGTTGAGTCATTTATTTTAACAGTGAGTAGATCTGATCAAAAGAAATGTTTTTCTCCTTTACCATTTTTCTGATAAAATTAAAGTAACAAAGTTATAGCCCTTTGGAAGTTTGAGTACCGCCCTGTCTCAATAATAATATTATGTGCTCGTGTTTGGCAACAACGGATATAATCCGCTTTATCGGTTCATCGCATCGGAAACAAAAAAGCGAAAGAATTTGGAACGATGTTTTTACAATTATTTTATTCAGTTGTATACAGACAGTGTCAGTCGGTAACGCGTGAGTGAATAGTGGTGTCTGTTGCGTGGCTCAAACGAAATCAAAAATGGCACATGTTTACGAAAATGCTGAACTTGTGGACATGATTCTTATTTACGCGGCATCACGGATTTATGCGGATCGGTTTCCCAATCGAGTGCAACCAATGTAGTACAAAGGGCTCGTGAATCAGGTGACTTAAGACCTTACAGGGGAGGGCATGCCGGTGCTCCAAGACCGCACGATCAAATACAGGTCCGCACTGAAATACTTGTCGGGAGGATACCTCATAAAACAAGGTAACATTTTTTTTAATTTTTTTTTTATTTTTATACACATATTTTGGTTTATCTTCCTTCTACAATCATTATCTGAAAATTGACTCAACTTCAAAGTCACCCGGTATAGTATTGCTCAGTTCCTGAACAACCAAAAAATATTTGACTTTATGGATTTATGGATATCAGAAATCCTGAATGATTTTGTGGGAAAATCAATCAACGGTGCTATAATGGAAAAATCTATGACATTTTTGGTAGAGGCTGTGATCAAGTAGCCACCTAATGGCTATCTGCAAGAGGTTTATAGGAAAAAAAGTACGGTAGGTGATGTTAAATCAGTAAAATCGCATACCAATTGAAGAAAATAATATAAACATGAATGCACAATTGACAATATTAAATAAAAACATGAATTTTATTCAAAAATCGAACACTTTTTTAAATTTTGACTAAATCATATGTAATTTCTTAATATTCAATAAGCTGGTGATGTTCCAATGACAAGCTGTCATCTCATACTTTGACAGTATCTTGTTTCCAACATTTCATAGCTATTGGTTGCTAAAATTTGTTGATTGGAACTTAAAGCTCATTCGCTGTATTTGACGGACTGTTACCCTATAGGTGGAGAATAACGGACTGTTGATTTGACAATCCTGGTGAAATGCACCCTTAGTGAAATGAAGTACAGCACTGGAACATATTTTTGAATATCATAAAAATTTACAGTTACACTACCCAGAAGATTCTTATTAGGAGAATCATTTTGTTCGAGCGTGAGACTGAGTGATGACGTCACATGACACCAGCTACCATCACTACCACAAAGCGAGGGGCTTTTACAAACGTTGCTTGGGTCAAGCCATTGACCTACATACACTGTAATGTACCTAGGTGTACGAATACAGGCAGATCAGCCCCCGAGAAATATGTTTACCTGTGCCAAAACAAAGAAAAATTAGAAGGAAGTAATGAACTGGGACATCGACGATAGAATTACCTCTTTCTGAAATATTATTATACTGCTGTAAATATCATTTTGATGTTAGCAAATATCATTATGAAGGATAACTAACCTAATTGGAGCAAACGAGAACGAAGATAGATTTTATGATTGCTTTAGTTTCGAGATAATGTGAATATTGTCATAGTGATGTTGTTGTGGCTCATTATTGAAATTCGGATTGAAGCTGAAAGTTTTCTCAAAGATGTCTCCTAGATCTGTAAATTGTCTTATCTTTGGCATTGTTGTTTGATTAACCTTATACAGATATTCTATCGGACGTTGGTTTCTAGAAAACCTTATGCTGGTACACTTAGATGCATTCATGTTTAGTTAGTTTAGGTCATTATTATCACACCAAATTATTACCCGGTTAAGATTATTTTGGTGATGTTGGCAGTCAGTGCTGCTGGTGACACGAGATTTTTTTTATACTCCAACTACCACGAAGGCCTAAGGCCTTTAACACCCATAGGGTACCGAGGAGCTATAGGGGAAAAGGGGGATGTCACACGGACTCAACAACATGCACACATTCTTGCTCCGCCTACGAGATCCGCCGGGTGATACCTCCGCGTTCGACAGTCAGAAACCGTCTACCACCTATGGACAATCACAACATCCATAGCCAAGAGGAAAATTTCTCCTGGGCGAGATTCGAACCCGCACAGCGCACGGCGACTGTTCAGGAGACCGAGTCTACTACTGCGGCCACCGCTGCTGCCTAAAATGGAAAGGGGGGGTCGAGTAATACCTTACTTTAAAGGTCTTTCAATTCCCTTTTTTTTATACTCCAACTACCACGAAGGTCTAAGGCCTTTAACACCCATTGGGTACCGAGGAGCTATAGGGGGATACAGGGGAAAAGGGGGACGTCACACGGACTCAACAACATGCACACATTCTTGCTCCGCCTACGAGATCCGCCGGGTGATACCTCCGCGTTCGACAGTCAGAGACCGTCTACCACCTACGGACAATCACAACAT